CCAGTCCATAGGTTGTCTTTTCATTTTGTTTATGGTTTCCTTTGCTGTGCAAAAGCTTGTAAGTTTGACGAACTTATGGTTACCAGGGGGGATTGGTGGGAGGGAGGGATGGTTAGGGAGTTTGGGATTGACATGTACACACTACTATATTTAAAATGGGTAACCAACAAGGACCTACTGTATAACACAGGGAACTCTGCTCAATATTATGTAACAACCTAAATGAGAAAAGAATTTGCAGAAGAATAGATACATGTATTTGTATAACTGAATCTCTGTACTGTACACCTGAAACTAACACAACATTGTTAATCAACTATACTCCAATATAAAATAAAGAGTTTTTAAAAAGCTTATAAGTTTGATTAGGTCCCATTTGTTTATTTTTGCTTTTACTTCTATTGCCTTGGGAGACTGACCTAAGAAAATACTGGTACAATTTATTTCAGAGGATGTTTTGCCTATGTTCTCTTCTAGGATTTTTATGGTGTCATCTTATATTTAAGTATTTAAGCAATTTGGGGTTTATTTTTGTGTGTGGTGTGAGGGTGTGTTCTAACTTCATTGATTTACATGCGGCTGTCCAGCTTTGCCAGCACCACTTGCTGAAGAGACTTTCTTTTCTCCATTGTATATTCTTGCCTCCTTTGTCGAAGATTAATTGACCATAGGTGTGTGTCTATTTCTGGGCTGTCTGTTCTGTTCTGTTGATCCATGTGTCTGTTTTTGTGCCAATACCACACTGTTTTGATTACTGTAGCTTTGTAGTATTGTCTAAAGTCTGGGAGGGTTATGCCTCCAGCTTTGTTCTTTTTCCTCTGGATTGCTTTGGCAGTTCTTGGTATTTTATGGTTCCATGTAAATTTTAGGATTATTTGTTCTAGTTCTGTGGAAAATATCATGGGTAATTTGATCCCTGTCACCTTAAATCTGTAGATTGCTTTGGGCAGTATGGCCATTTTAACAATGTTAATTCTTCCAATCTAAGAGCATGGCATATCTTTCCATTTCTTTGAATCATCTTCAGTTTCCTTTATCAGTGTTTTAGTTCTCAGCATATAAGTCTTTCACCTCCTTCGTCAGGTTTATCCATAAGTATTTTTGTATTTTAGTGTGATTTTTAAAAGGGGTATTTTTTTTTTTTTTTTTTTTACTTTTTCTTCCTTAACCTTTGATTATTCAGGCTTAATATCTTTAGTTCCTTAATTGCCTCATAGAATATTTCTAGGCCTCTCATACCACCTTCTTCTCTGGAGCTGCTTTGTTGTTCCTATTGAAATACGCACTCATAACTAAGTCTTGTTTCAAGATAGTGATTTAATTCTATGTTATTGGCGTTTCTCTTCCTGGATCCTATTTAAATTATCAAAGAGAACATAAAAAAAAAATCCAAGGTAGCTTTAGGAAATCACGTCACTGTCGGTATACCAAAAACTTTGAAAGTTTCTAGAAATTACAAAGCAGATTAGATTGGATTCAACATAGACATAGGAGAGTCATGTTTGATAAATAAATGGACTGATGTTTTCAGTAGAGCTGTTGAGTAAAGGGGGCTGGAATACAGGGTGGAACATGGGACTGATGGCAAATTGAAGGATTTCTATGACTCCAATGAAGTTGGAGCAGTTCTCCACAGAATTTAACCTCAAACTTTATGGATGCAAACAGTACTCTCAGTAGGGCATTTGTTACAGAAATAAGATAAAATTTCAGTGAACTACCGAAAGACAAGTGAGGGCCAGCATGTTGGTCTGGAATGACTGGGGGCTATAGACACAATGGGAGTTTATACTTACAAGCTGGTTCCTGTGGGCATTAACTGGGTGCTCATGAGAAAGATGGAGGCTGTGCAAGAGACCAGAAAGAGCCCCCACCTCAGTTGCAGGCAGCTGTAGGCAGACAAACATGAAATACCATGCATTTCCTTGCATCTCTTTTTCCTATTAAGTAAAAACCTTAAGCCACTGAGAGTGGGTCAGTTAAAGACTCACCCCAAAGACACAGGCAGAGACACATTGTTGTTGGGGTAAGAGTAGAAGAAAAACCTGTCTACCCCTGAGCGCGGGGGAAGGAAACCTTGTGTCTAAGATTCTATACCAATACCAAGCAGAGGTATTACTCCTACTACTGCTGGTGGACCAGCAGGAAAGTGCTTCCCAAGACCAATCACAGATACAAGGAGAAGTTTGGATGCCCCAGGGTGGAGGGGCAGGAACAGAGAAATCCATACCCCTGGGACTCAGGTGCACATGACCTGCCTAAGACTGAGAGTGGATGAGGATCAGATGGTAGTGAAAGCCATCTGGTTGGGGATGGCAGACTCAGAGTCACATAAATTTTAAGGTGCTTCCAGCAGTTTAGGAGAGCCACACCAGCGCATTGTCCTTAGGGAAGAAGACTCCAGGGCCAGTTCTGAAAGAGAAAAGGTCATGCTTCTCCCACTCCCATACCTCTTGGGGTCTAAGGTATGTCTCTTCAGATGCCTGCTCATTGCTCTCCACTGCCAAAAGATCTCGGTGTTCCATTTAGCTATAACTTCACTATCTTCCAGTGATCTAGAAGTGTTAGGTGCAAGAGGGACAGGGACATTTTTGTAAACCCTAACCAGAATTAACTTTGACTCCTCTAGGTCCCTTTTTAGCTGAGCTGCCACCTGGAGGATGCACCAACCAGCTAAGAGGCGATGATGATCCCTTTCTTAGGGACAGCACATTCAGTGGCCAAACTGTCTGAGTTTAAGGAGTAAGGTGAACCAGGAGGAGGTTATGGAAGCAGAGTCAGACATCATCAGTGCATTGTTGAACAGCTTTTCTGATAAATGATTCATTAGCGTCAGTGCAAATAGTCTAGAAAGCTAAAAACATGACACAGATTACTTTCAAGGGCCGCAATAGTATGGACATGAGGGGCTGATTGGTAACCTGAAAAAGTGTCGGCAGCTTGAGGAACCACCAGTAGCCCTAGGGGGAGATCAAAAGTTTGATGTAGTCCATCTGCCAAGAGCCAAAAAAGGGCAGTGCCCTGTGCAGTGAGACCTCCCAGACAGGAATCATTAAGTCTGGCATGCAGTGGTATCCTCTGCATCAGAAACAGAGTCAGACTTAATCAGAAGCTTGATTTCAGTCTAAATTAGCGAATGGGCTCTTGCCATGGGTAGCTACATTAAGTGACCCAGACCATTCAATTAGCAATTAAAATTTGTTTTCAGTTTGCAGCCCCAAAGAGGCTACCTTTAATCTGTCAGTTGTAATTTTCCAAGTGGCAAACCAAACAGCTGGGCCACTGGCAACAGCCCAAGAATCTGAGTTCTGCCCACTGAAGAGAATGCTGTGTCTCCTTTTGGTTCTGCATAGCTCTGAGGCTGAACAGTCATGGCAGCCCAGTGGACACTGTCAGCTTCAGCTTCTATAAACCATTAGTGAACCAGGCTGAGGCATTTCAGGGAACCTCATTGATCCAGTAGCTTTGCTTCAGAGAGTGGAGTAGGAATAAAGTTTCCCCTCAGAGGATTGGCTGCCACTTTTTCATATAAAGCCAAAATGCCGTTGGGGCAAGGCTGTCCTGTATTCTTGAATATACCATTTCCATTTGGCAAGCAAGGCTTTTGGGGGTCCTTCTCACCTTGTTAGTTGTGGAATTTAAGTTTGACCCACCGCCAAATGGGACTATCAGGCCAGAGAGTCACTAGGCCCGCCTAGATCAAGCAGACCCATCTGGAGGCTGTTTCCCTTTGCCAAAGGCTCCACTTGGCAGAATCCTCAGTAACAAAGATTTGTGCTGTTTCCAGTACCCAGAGTCTAATTGTGTTGGGGTTCACCAGCTAGTTCTGCTGGTGGAGGTATTTAGTTTAGCCAGTAGTAGTATATCAGTGTTAATTTATGTGTTTTGACAAATGTGCTATGGTTATGTAAATTGTTATCATAGTGGATATTGGATGAAGGATATACAGAAACTCTGTACTATCTTTGCAACTTTCCTGTAAATCTAAAAGTATTTCAAATTGAAAAATTACTTTAAAAAGTACCAGATGGGGCTTCCCTGGTGGCGCAGTGAGAGTCCGCCTGCCAATGCAGGGGACATGAGTTCGTGCCCCGGTCCGGGAAGATCCCACATGCCGCAGAGTGGCTGGGCCCATGAGCCATGGCCGCTGAGCCTGTGCTCCGCAACGGGAGAGGCCACAACAGTGAGAGGCCTGCGTACTGCAAACTTTCCCACACTCACGTGGTGCTTTAGCTATTAGTCTACTCAGTGCAATTGCAGTGTCTTGAACATGCCTTGACTTCTCATGCTACGCCCTTTTTGTATGAAATGCCCTTATCCCACCTCTTCACATGGCAAAATTAAAGCCAAGCTTCAAGGCTGTGCCTTGGTCTTACCTTTCCTGTTAGCTCATCATTGATGCTTCTGACTCAGTACTAGCACAGCTTTTTTTTTTTTTTTTTCGGTACGCGGGCCTCTCACTGCTGTGGCCTCTCCCGTTGCGGAGCACAGGCTCAGCGGCCATGGCTCACAGGCCCAGCCGCTCCGCGGCACGTGGGATCCTCCCGGACCGGGGCACAAACCCGTGTCCCCTGCATTGGCACGCGGACTCTCAACCACTGCGCCACCAGGGAAGCCCTAGCACAGCTTTTTGTATGTATTTCTGCTTAGGATGCTTCACAGGTTAACATTGTAAATGCTGGTAGTCATCTTCTAGAGTAAGAGTTGCTTGAGGGTGGGAATAATACTTTATTCATCTTTTCATTTCCAGTATTTAGCTTGTTGCCCACTTCCAGTGAGTCGTACACAGTAATTGTTCAAGTATATGTTAACTGGGTGAGTGAGTGAAAAGCCTTAGGGCCATGCTATGTATGGTTATGATAGAGCTTTCCTCTTTGTGTCACTTCAGTATTAAGTACTGTCATTAAATGGATATTTGTGATTCTTGTTTACATTTTGGAATTGTATTTAAGTATTCTCGTGTATACATTATAAAATCTTTTTCTTTCATTTATGTTTTAGGAGGGCCAAACATGTGGGCTATTACCTCTGAAGAACGGACTAAGCATGACAAGCAATTTGATAACCTCAAACCCTCAGGAGGTTACATAACAGGTTTGTGTTTATATTTTATTTGTAAATTATGCTCCTTTTCATGTAGTATCTTATAATTAGTTTTAATTTGACTGCCATCAATTTGTATTATTTAATGATAAAATTCATATCAATCAGAATTCTAGAATTTTTAAAAAATGTGACTTTCTTATTTTACCCGGAACCATCTTAATTTGTTGTCTTTGGATTTGGCATAATAGAAGATCTTTTCCTGATCCTAAACTTTAATTTTCCAGTTTCACATTTTAACCTTATATCTCGAAAGTTTTCCATTTATTTCTCAAGGTAGTTGAGACTTTTTTCCCTAAGCAAATTTATTAATGTGTTCTTAATATGTTGTGCCAGTTACTAGTATAATGATCAGTATTACTAAAACCTAGTAGAAATATATATATCAGATCAGTTTTCTTGAAAATAATCTAGAATTTTTTTTTCTGGAATCTGTTTTCCTAACATTTAGCCCTCTGACTTTGGGAGGCTTTATAAGCATTGATTGTTGATGCTATAGCCCTTGTTTTGCAAGAAGTCCCCCAGAACCAAAAGAGGATTAATTTAGGTGTGTCTTTCAAATTTTTTTCTATAAGTGAAACTTCCTTTTCTATGCTAAAGCACCTTAGGGCTTTATTTACAGTAGTAGTAAATATAATGGCTAATATTTACCAAATCTGTACTGTATTTCAGGTACTATACTAAATGCACTATCTCCTTTAACCTTCACAACAAGCCGGTGACGTTGCCCTGTCGTTGTCTGTATTTAAAGATGATAGAACTGAGACTTTGAGGTGTTCTGTAACTTGCCAAGAGATGGTTAGTGGTGATCTGGGCTTGGAAACCTTTCAGTCTGACTTTCGAGTCCATCCTCTTAAACATTATAGTTTAATGTTATTTGCACTTCAGTAATAAAAACTACCTTACCTGGTATCCGGGTTGGGATTTGATTACCCTACTTACAAGGTAATAATTTGGTCTGTTACTGTCTCATGGATGCTGGCAGAAGACCCAGAATTCCTGAGTCAGAGACCAAGGACACTCTTTCTAATGGCACAGCTGGTAGCATGAGCACCGGCATATTTCTGTCCATTTCCCTCGTCCCCTGAGTCACATAGGGGCCAGGCAGAGGGGCCAGAAGGATGCTGCACATGCGGTGGTTGTGTTATAGAAGAGGAACACTGGGCTTCAGGGAACCCACCATTTTTCAGCAAGCAGTAAGCAAGCTTATTCTTTGTCCCAGAGGGAAACATTACCTCATCCTTCAAGACAGCTCACTGCAAACCCAACTCTGAGACATGATCCAGGTAAAGAGCAGTTAGGATCTTACGTTCTTGGCATACACAGCAGGACATATCAGACACCCATGAGGAGTATCTTTCCCAAACCTTGTATTTTTTTTAATTAGAGCTCTTCTAGGGAATAGTGTTTTTAACTATAAATTTTATTAGATAGGTGTATTATCAAATAAGACCCTAATTATGAGGAAAAACTAAGATGAATAATGTAATCTTTCATCACTGATTAATGCATATATAACTTCAGTTGTGACATTTTTGTTTTAAAACCTCTAAGTCTTATTAAAGTAATATAAATAATTTTTCTTTAATAATTATAATTAGGGACTTCCTTGGTGGCGCAGTGGTTAAGAATCCTCCTGCCAATGCAGGGGACACGGGTTCCAGCCCTGGTCTGGGAAGATCCCCCATGCCACAGAGCAACTAAGCCCGGGCATCACAACTACTGAGCCTCCACTCTAGAGCCCACGCTCTAGAGCCTGCGAGCCACAGTTTCTGAGCCTGTGTGCCACAATTACTGAAGCCCGCACGCCTAGAGCCCGTGCTCCGCAGTAAGAGAAGCCACCGCAACGAGAAGCCCGCGCGCCACAAAGAAGAGTAGCCCCTGCTTGCTGCAACTACAGAAAGCCCACGTGCAGCAAAGAAGACCAGTGCAGCTAATCAATCAATCAACAATCAATTTATAAAAAATTATAATTAAAATAAATCAATAACATTGTTATTATTGGCCATTATTATTATTCAGAGGCATCAAAGTAATTCCATTTACTAATACGCTGTTTGTTTTTTTTTATTGTCTTCAGGTGATCAAGCACGTACCTTTTTCTTACAGTCAGGCCTGCCAGCTCCTGTTTTAGCTGAAATATGGTAAAATGTTTTCTTTTGTAGATGAGCTTAACTTTCTGGTAGTCTGACTTTGTTCTGTTTTTAATACTTAGTGTTAACGTAAAGTTGTTTTTACTTGTAGTCTGTTGTTAATAAGAGTATTTCTGGGCTTCCCTGGTGGCGCAGTGGTTGAGGGTCCGCCTGCCGATGCAGGGGACACAGGATCGTGCCCCAGTCCAGGAAGATCCCACATGCCGCGGAGCGGCTGGGCCCGTGAGCCATGGCTGCTGAGCCTGCACGTCCAGAGCCTGTGCTCTGCAGCAGGAGAGGCCACAACAGTGAGAGGCCCACGTACCGCAAAAAATTAAAATAAGAGTATTTCTTCAGCTTTTTAGAAAATAAATTTTATTGAGTAAATGACTAAAAATCAATTGGGGTTTTGTTCTATAGGATAAATTTCTAATTTCCTTAGAATTTCTAAGGAAAGGAAATTTCTAAGTGTTTTTCTATTAAAAAAAACACTTCTTTACAATTTGGCAAGAGTCTTTATCTTCATTCTGTTATTTTGTAGTTGTTTCATTTATTTCATCATCTATAAACCCCACATTAGCCCTCCCTTCCCTTATTCCTACCTTAAAGAAATTGTTCTTTATAATATCTAAGGTTTTGGGTTTTTAATGTATTTACAATAAACATCAACCCCTACTCCATCCTTCTTTCCATTCAGAATATCCCCATGCCTGGCAGAGTACCAGGCACATAGCAAGCATTCAGTAAATACTTGAACAAATGAATAAATTGTTTACAGTGGTTATACTCTTGTATAATTTCTTTCCATCTGCACTGGTGGAATTCATCCCAAAGGTATCTAGATACTATATAGACTGATAGTATTTTATTAGATACTATCTTTGGTCAGTGTATATTAATGTACAGGTTTTAGTGTTTTGTTATACACATACACATATTTAATTAAGTGATGATCTACATGTAAATGCTATGTCATTGTTTCCATTTTATCATCCTCCTCAAAAGTAATGTTGACCCTGAATAACAATCTGTCACCCTCCAAACTAAGTAGCAGATGCATTAGTTTGATCTGCTGTCAGGTTCTGTGAGGAGGGCCCTGTTCCATCCTGAATAAAAGAGTGACTTTGAGCTCTTAAAATCAGGGGAGCTCAATACATCAAAACAAAACAAATCTACCGCTCTCATTGTCCTTTTAGGGCTTTGTCAGACCTGAACAAGGATGGGAAGATGGATCAGCAAGAGTTCTCCATAGCTATGAAACTCATCAAACTAAAGCTTCAAGGCCAACAGTTGCCCGTGGTTCTTCCCCCTATTATGAAACAACCTCCTATGTTCTCTCCATTAATTTCTGCTCGTTTTGGTATGTGTTTATTAATTTAATTAGATGCATTTGATAGTTAAACTTGATTCCTAGGCATAATATTTGAGAATCAGAAAAGGATTTGTTGGCATAAAATGACAGTCCCCAGACTCCAAGTTAACTTTCATGTCTGAGACTAGAAATGTTAAGTTCGCTGTCATAGCTAGGGAGTCCATGTATCCCAGTTTTCCAGGGACAGTTGTGATTATGCCTGTTGTCCTGGCATCTAGTCTGGTTAGTGTTCCCTTTCATAATTCCCAGTTGGATGATAAATTATATGATCCTGCTATTATAGCTGAGCCTAAATACTATTCTTAATTAGTTTCCTCTATACTCTGTATGCATAACAAAACTGTGAACAATTTAAACTCGAAATGGTTTCATTTGGGGGGTAATTTAAAGTTATACATAAGTAGAAATTTCTTTAATTTAAAGGTTAATTAGCCAGCTAAATTTAGGGCTAAAAGTTGGAGACTTCGTGCTATTTAATTTGCATATTCATCAGAGGTAACTAGTTTTCCATTAATTTTGATTAGCCATTTTCCTATTATTTGTGAGAAGCACTCATTGGAACAGAACATTCAGTTAGATATCTCTATGTATCAGAAACATGTTCTTCCACTCTAGATGTTAGACCTTAAAATACTAAATTCTTTCACTATTGCAGTGAATTCTAGAGATAATATCAAATCCTTGTGTAACCATATTTATGTAGTGTACTTCATATTCTGCAGTTAGTAAACAAATGAGTCATCACTTTGTTCCTTTTAAAGAATTGTCCTTGAATCCATATGTATTGTGTTACATATAAGAAAAGTGAAACGTGGCATGCTTTCTTCTTGCACATAGTGTGTGTGCATAAATGGTTCTCTTAAAGTATGCAGTATTTAGAACATCCTTTACAGGGGAGGGGAGAGTTTGGGGAGTGAGTGTGTGTGTGTGTGTGTGTGTGTGTGTGTGTTAACTCAACAGCACTGTATTTATTATCCCTACACAAAACCCCACATTTGATCAGGTAATGCATTCTCTCATTGAGGATACTAATATTTAGTTGGAAAAGACTCTTTAGTTTTATTCATGATACTAGTAGAGAATTTTTAACTCCTTAGTAGGCATTCGCTTAGTTCACACAGGTCAGAATATTGATATTAAAAGCAGTAGCTTACCTCCTGCACTGCACTGGGTCCAAGCTGCTTTAGTGAACTTTTTAAAACTAGTTTGCCAACAGTGTTTCTGTAACATAGTAGTTGCTCACTGTACTGTGAACTTGTTTTCTGTCATGTGTTTTATAATTGGTTTAGCAGCACTGGGGAATGTATTCTGTTTTGTCCTTAGGAATGGGAAGCATGCCCAATCTGTCCCTTCCTCAGTCATTGCCTCCGGTCGCACACATAGCAACTCCCTTGTCCTCTGCGACTTCAGGGACCACCCGTCCTCCCCTAATGATGCCTGCTCCCCTAGTGCCTTCTGTTAGCACTTCATCATTACCAAATGGAACCGCCAGTCTCATTCAGCCTTTATCCATTCCTTATTCTTCTTCAAGTAAGTGCTTTGTTTCTGATGACTCGGTATTTTATTATGAAGAAACTGTTATATTTGCATCCCAATAGATAGATTTCCTTCATACTTTGTGAAATTGTTTGGTATGAACCTTTTTCTTTTTTCGTTTTTTTTAGCATTGCCTCATACGTCGTCTTACAGTCTGATGATGGGAGGATTTGGTGGTGCTAGTATACAGAAAGCCCAGTCTCTGATTGATTTAGGATCCAGTAGGTATGAATACTTAAAACTTCCAACTTTTTAGGCTTTCAATAAGGAGTATTTAACAAAAGATTTTTTTTTTTTTTAAAGCTCTGAGCTTATCCAGGTTTTACTTTATAGTGGCCAGATGTAAACACTTGGTAAATTTACTATTTGTAATGCACATAAAATAATTTTATTTAAGAATTATTAACTGTCTGTGGTATTTTACTTTTGAAAAATATATCTTATGTAAACTAAAAATATTCTGTATTTTTAATCAATCAATTTTTTGCACAAAGCTACATTTTTCTTTCAAAAATATTTCTCAAAACATCTCATAATCATTGTACATTATTATTTCTCGAGCAAAAGCTGCTGATTGAGTATCTTTAAAATTTCAGAAAGCACAAAAGCATCAATGTTCATTCATCACCACTCGTATAAATCACAATAATACTCTTTAAAGCAATGACCCAGAAGAACAATGTCTGCATCCTTGTTTAAACACTCACTGATTGTGTGACCTTGTTTTTCTCAACATCACTGAGCCATAGTTTGTCCATCTAAAGGATGGAGACAGTAATACTTTTTAAGTTTGTCATGAGGATTAGAAATATTTGTGAAAACCCTAGCACAACGTGGGGCCTGGCACATAGTAGGTTCTTGGTATATGGTAGTTTTGTACTTCATATGGTATTTGCTTTCCTAAGAATAAGGATAATTGATTAAATTTTTTCAGTATCAAGTATAAAAGTAATTACTGTTATATTATAGAAGGTATGATTCTTATTGTCTCTGACTTAACTAAACGTATTTTATTTAGTAACAAAAATTTTAAATAAATTTTGTTACAGCTCAACTTCCTCAACTGCTTCCCTCTCAGGGAACTCACCCAAGACTGGGACCTCAGAGTGGGCAGTTCCTCAGCCTTCAAGATTAAAATATCGGCAAAAATTTAATAGTCTTGACAAAAGCATGAGTGGATACCTCTCAGGTAAGTGGCATACGGTGCTTAAGAATGTGAGAGAGTTATGATTTTATATGGACTTCTATTAAAGAAATTTTATTTGAAGTTGTATTTTGTAGCTCATTTAAAATTTTAACATCCAAAAAATTTAGCAGGCATTTGATAAATACAAATAAGGTTTAAGTTGTGTAAGAGTTCAAAGTTCTTATAATCAAGTTGAGCACACCCAGCTTTTTGGAAAGAAGACCTCTCCCTTGAGAAGGTCAAACCTCATCCTCCAATGCAGTGAATGGAGAACTTCATGTGATCAGAGAGTATGGCACTAAGCTTCAGCTCAGTTACCCTGAGAGTCTCCTTCCTCATTGGTTCTTTCTCTGCTTGTCCTTCCGAACACCTCATGTGAGCATTGTTCCCCTTTAAAGCTCCAACCCAAATGTAGCCATAAAACCTGACCTGAGATCCCCATAGAACATTTGAGTCCGTGCTAGAGCAAACATCCAAACTTCACTAATTGAGGATAGTGAAGGGGGACATAAACAGAGGGTAATAGGCAAGTAGAATTCCCATCTTCTAACTTTTGCCTCTCTCTTCACTTAACAACGAATTATAGTTTAGACAGAGTAAAATGAGTGTTTAAAAATAATAGAGCTTTAAAGTGCTAGGGAACATAGAATAGGAGATATTAATACTGAAGAAATAAGATAAAACATCTTTTAGGAAGGGAGCGTTGAAGCCCTATCATGAAAGAAAAAAGTTAGGATTCAGATAGAGATTGAAGGTGAGGGCATTTGAGGGTGACAAGGAAGAAATCCTAAGAGCAAAAAGTACACGACATGTTTGGAGGATGAAAAGCAGTATATGAAATAGGAGTATGGGGTCTCTAGTTGTGCACTGGGGCAAGGGAGCAATAAAACTTTTGGAATTGATTGGAAAAGCTAATACGCAATATGCAATATTTTCTTTAAAGATACATATCTATGTGGTAAAATCTTTAAAAAAAAACGAGAATTATACACAAAAAATTCAGTATAGTAGTTGCCTTTTCTGTGGGAGGCATGGAGATAAAATCAGGGAACACAGATAGCTTCAAAGAATTTAGTAATGATCTAGTTCTTAAGTTGTATAGTAGTTTAATGGGTGACTTTTATTAGTATACTTCATAACTTACAACTATACTATATATGTATCAAATACTATATAAGAACTATAAATTTCTGTAACTTTGTTAAATTATGTGGAACTATACTATATTTTTAAGTAATCTTTTTTTTTTTTTTTTTGGAATTTTAACATCTCTGAAATTGGGATGTGTATTATCATCAGTGGTATCTTAGCATTGTGTCATGTTTTTTTTTTTTGGCAGTGATTTGTCCTTCTTAGTGTTACTTAAAATAATGGGGTGTTGTATAATCAATGGCATCTTAGATTCTGTGAAATTATATTCAAACTATAGTATTTAAGATTAACATAAAGTAAAAAAAAAAAAGATTAACATAAAGTCAGACAATTCTCATATTTGAAAAAATGAACTTCTTTTGGCCCTGCATTTTGCATTGAAGAAGTTTCTTTTTTCAGATTAACAGAAGTGGACTAAAAAGACATGTGCAGAAGTGTTCATGGCAGCTTCATTCACAACATCCAAAAAATAAGTAGCCTAAATGTCCATCGACAGGAGAATGGATACATAAATTGTGGTGTATTTCTTTAGCAGAATACCTTGCAGCGATAAAAATGAATGAACTGCTGATACATGCAACAACTTGGATCATTTCATAGATGTTGCATGAGTCAAAGAAGTCTGGCACAAAAGATCCATAATATTTAATCCATTCATATGAAGTTGAAGAACAGGAAGCTGAATTGATGGTGATAAAAATCAGAATAGTGTAGTTACTCTGTTGGACAAGGGACCATGTTAGAACCTTCTGGGGTGCTGGAAACATTCTGTATCTTGAGGTGGGTGTTAGTTGCATGTGTGCATACTCATGTAAAAATCCACTGATCAGTACACCTAAAATTAGTACCCTTTGTGTATGTACTGCAAACATAGAGTATAAACAAAAGTGGGTTTGTGTTGCAGTATGAAGGGCAGTGGGGAGCCAACTGTGAGGAAATGTTCCCTTAATGTTACTTTATTTGTATGTGACACATTGCATGAAGGGTGTGTATTGTGTTTTCAGAAAATGTTATTATTCTTAGACTTACAAGAGTAAAGCTATATATTGGTAGTTAAGGGAAGGATTGATTTTCTTTGAAAGAAGAAGTTGTCTCTGGTGTCTTGAAACTGAGCATGAGCCCCACGTATATGAGGACAGGGCTAACCTAGACTTATGTGGTATGCTTTGTTCAGTGAATGTAGCAGTTAGTGGTCTAATTTTTCCCTTTTGTTCTTCCTCCTCTCTTCCCCATAAACCCTCAGTCATGATTTATTTAGATTGATTCATTGACTCAAATATTTCCTGAGCCACATATCTTCTGGGCACTCAGTATGACACTGGAATGCAGACAAGAAGACGTGTCCCATGTCTTTAAAGAGCCCATAGTATAGGTCACATAATCTCAGTGAATAGTGGTTTAAAAGTGCTGTGATTAATACGGATGAGAAAGTGACTAATGCTGAGGATGTAAGAGAGCGTTTCACAGGAGAGGTGTCATTTGAGCTGGATCTTAGAGGATAAATAGACTGCCTGGTAGAGAGTCGGGGGACTAGCATTTTAAGCGCAGGAAATAGGATATCCAAAGTATTGGCAGACCAGTAGTGTGCATGCTCGAGTGAGCTTCCTTAGTGCAGCTTCCTCTGCTGCCTGTCTTTGGCCTCTGTATTACTCACATGGCCTGCACACATTTAAGCCTTCCGCCAGTGCACTTTTAACCATTGCATTCCTTCCCTTCCTCCTGTTGTTTGCTCTGTTGCCTAGTGCGAGGGGTCTGCTTTGTTATCTTTGTCCAAGAGCTGAAACTTTAGTTATAGAACCTTTCTTGGTTTGAAGAACCTTTCTAGCCTGCCATTTCTTTATTGGAAGAATCCTCTTTTTAACATAAAAACCTCCTCAAATCTTACTTTTTATATGAAATCTATTGAGAAGTATTAATTGAGTGAGGCTGTGAGCTATTTCCAGTGTGTTTCCTTTATGTGATTTCTATTAAGTGGCCAGATAAAAAAAAGAATGGAAAAGATTTTAAAATTATATAATATAAACATTTGATTGCTTGTTATAATACGTGGTATATTTGAGGTTGTTCCATATAGAATATGTAGCTTTGGTTAACCAGATCTCTGTGTTCAAAGCTCAGTGAAGCAGTGGGTTTAACGGCATCGATGCTGGCTTTGTAGTGCAAGTTGTTGCTGAGGAAGAGCTGGCAGTTGTATCTCTTCTGTGCAGAGTTGTTTCGAGAGTCCTTGACTCAGGCTAAACGCAGGGTAGGGCTGACTCATCCGGCACTTGTGGCTTAGGCACCTGAGAGTGGGAGGTGTAGCACCTGCTTTATTGACTAGGTGACCTTCCCTAGAGAAGCCTCAGGCTTCATCATGGTCAGAAAGCCACAGACAAGCTCACCAGGAGTGAACGCTCCTCTGAAGCAGAGAGGGATTTTCTGTTCTGGAATATATTCATTGAAGATTAGGAGCCTGTTACAGAGACATATTTTTGTTTTCTCACACTGAGGGAGAGAAAAGAAGTTGAACAGTTTACCATACATAGTAAGCATTCATATGAGTGTTAGCTATTGTTATTATCAGTTGCTATCACATAAGTAAGCCCCCATTGCACCTTAGATAGAGGATAATTTTGGATTACAATTTTCTTCATTACTTTAGCAAATATTTATTAAGCATCGATTTACTAGGTGTGGGGTATACGTTAGTGGATAAAACAGTCAAGGCTTTTGTCTTCATAGAACTTAGCATAATAAGGGAAATAGACAAACAGGTAAACAAGCAAATGTTACATTACAAATTGTGATATGAGATATAAAGGATAAAAGCAGGAAATGTATTGAATGGTAGGGTGGACAGAGAAGCCCTTTCTGAGAAGGTGACGTTAGATTTCGACTTCACAGGTGAGAAGGACCTAGACATGCAATGATGTAGAACTGTAGGACTTGATGTTGGATATGGGTGTACAGGAGAGGGAGGGCTCAGGGGGGACTTTTTGATTTCTGGCTTGAGCCACTGGATGGATTGTGATACCATTCATAGAGAAAGGAGGACGGAGGAAGAATGATTTGGGTGTAGATTAGGAAGAGGGGCCTGGATGGGGATTGAAAGTAGTTTTATATGTATTTGGTTTGATATGCTTATAAAATACATACATTGATTTTTCAGTTGGATATAGAAGTCTAAACTTAGAGTGGATGTACATTTGGGAATCCTCAGCCTCTAGGTGCTGCTTAAAGTCATAGAAATGGATATGAATGCACAGAGAGAAAAGAGTGCCCAGGATAGATCCGTGAAGAATGCCAGCATTTACAGGTCATTTAGAAGAGGAAGAGTAGAGACGAAGGAATGATCAGAGATAAGAGAATATCTGAAAATGCTTAAGGAAGCTGTGCTTTGAGAGCTTGGCCTCTAATGCTCTGTGTCGCTGGCTTAGTCCTTCGTGTCAGTCACTTGTGTGTACCATTATCTTCTGAAAGGACACGGGAGCACTTGATTCTACTAACTGTAGACTTTAAACTCCTTGGTCCAGGGAATGTGTTTGTTTTGATGACTACTGAATGCTCAGTGTCTGGTGCATGGTAAAAGCCGATGCTATCCCAGGGTGGCAGCAGTGTTATTTCAAGGGTACAGCTACTTAAGTTTGCATGACTTTAAGAGGCTAAAGAATTTTTTTATGCTTTTTCTCACACAATCAGGTTTTCAAGCTAGAAATGCGCTTCTTCAGTCAAACCTTTCTCAAACTCAGCTAGCTACTATTTGGTGAGTTTGCCCGTTGATTATGATTTTTAACTATACATTTTCTGTTATACTGTTTCTGTAAAATTTTGTGACTCAGAAGCATTCCATAAAAGCGGCCATGTGAAATTAATGCAAACCTGTAAGCTAATGAAATTGCTTTGTAAAATATTATCCTCAAGAATTTGGCATTTAATTATTTTACAAGTAAAACTTGTTTGCTTTTATATAATGCCTTCTATGGAGAATTAGAGAATATCTCATTTTTAATGTGGAGCTAAATGTGATTTGATGGGTGAATTAACCATGTACCAAGACAAGCCACCTTTTCAGAAGGAATATTTCCCTTTCCATTTCAACGTTTCTTCCCTCTCTTTTGTGATATGAAAATTAAGGGTAAAAATTAGCTCACTTTCTGTGTGTATTTACTTTTCACTAAAATGTGTTAACCCAGCTGTTCTACTGTCATTATTCTTGTTTTAAAAATAAAAAATTGAACTCTTCTGAAAATATTTTACTCTAAATAGACTTTCTTAGTTGTGAATTTTCATATTTTCTTTAGGACTCTGGCTGACATTGATGGTGATGGGCAGCTAAAAGCTGAGGAGTTTATCCTTGCAATGCACCTCACTGATATGGCCAAAGCTGGACAGCCATTGCCACTGACTTTACCTCCGGAGCTTGTCCCTCCGTCTTTTAGGTGAGTGCCTCTGTAGATGAAGGGGTGTTGTTTCGATCATGTTTGGCAGACATGATTATTACTTTGGGATTTCCTGAGGCCTCTGCTCTAGTTTCATGGAAAATCGAACATTTACATTGCCATTTGATTTTGGTATTTAATGAGTTACACTGAGAAGAGAGTAGATATTAGAAGTAGGTGTGTATTTTCACCACATCATAGATAAGGAAACTGATGCGTAAAGAGATTAAGAATAAATTTACCCAAGAATAGCAATTGGCTGAATCATGATTTGAATCCATATCTCTCTGGCTTGATAATCCATATACTGCTGTACAGTGTAACTATAGACCACACTATATTTTAAATACCTTTAATTACATTCTAAATATTAAATTGCTCTAGTCAGTGGTAGTCTATATAGTCTGGTCTAAAAATTCTCAGATCTCATGATGCTAAATTTATTTGTTGTTTGCTTTTCTTAGAGGAGGAAAGCAAATTGATTCCATTAATGGAACTCTGCCTTCATATCAGAAAATACAAGAAGAGGAACCTCAGAAAAAATTACCAGGTAGCATCGAGTGTCCAAGTTGTATATTTATTGTGAATTCTCTTAAATTTTACCATGAAATATAAATGAATATTTAGAATTATTAAATTCTTAATATTTTATATGCTGTACGAGACACTATTTGATGAATGGGATGGATTTTAACATCAGTAAAATTAAGATAGTCAAAACTGAGAGGAAGAGACAGGTATGTATATTTGGCAAGAGTGTATGTATTAGGTGTCCTAGTTAAAGTGTTTCTCCCACTTTTGGAAAAATCATTATAGCAAGCTTTGTAACGAAATCTTGAGCTTTAAAAAAAGTTTAAATACTGGTTGAAAAAGTACATGTGTAGGTATTTTAAAATATTAAAAAGTTAATGACATATACCAAATGTAACAAATATATAGCCATACAACTTTGGTTATCCTTGAAGAAAATGCTGAGGAAAAAATTGAAAAGCATTTTCATTGGCAGGAATAGTAAAATTATTTTTCTCTTGGATGGACTCAAACTTAGAGATTTGTTTTCCAAAAATGAATATTCTTATAAGAAAGTAAATATTTTACTATTTACATTTGAGTTAAAATTATCCTTCGGAGAAGTATCCACAGAGAAATAGCAGTCACATGATCACGAGGCATGAGGACGTTGAAACTAGATTACAGGTTCATTAGGCTTGATGTTGAAGAATGCTTACAATATACCTTATCTAGTTACGTTCGAGGACAAGCGGAAAGCCAACTATGAGCGGGGGAACATGGAACTGGAGAAGCGACGCCAGGCCATGATGGAGCAGCAGCAGAGGGAGGCAGAGCGCAAAGCCCAGAAGGAAAAGGAAGAGTGGGAACGGAAACAGAGAGAGTTACAAGAGCAAGAATGGAAGAAGCAACTGGAATTAGAAAAACGCTTGGAGAAGCAGAGGGAATTGGAGAGACAACGGGAGGAAGAAAGGAGAAAAGAGATAGAAAGACGAGAGGTTATTTTTTTAAGTTATTTTATTTCCCAGGAAAATCGTTTCATTTAGTAAGTGGCTACATTTCATTTGATAAAAAATGGTAATTTTTGTTGTGCTTTTTCTCAGCATCATTCGTTCATTCTTACCCTGTACGAATCTGAATCTTCCTTCTCCTGTGGAGAGATAGAGGGTCCTTGCTTGTGAGGGGTTTCAGGGCTGGCAGCTGGTAGAGAAAGCATGTCTGCAGGTGATACCTCAATCAGTGCAAGACTGGTTGCAAAGCTGAGTTGAGTGAGGAGCCAGAGGAAGAAGTCAGTGTGATCAGGTCCTTAAACGAAAGTAAGCTTAGGATCCAGAGTGAAAGGCCAAGTAATTGGAGAGGCAGAAAGAAGAGAGTGGGGAGTTGAAGGCCATGAGAGGGATCACGAGGGTGGGCTTGCACAGGTCTTTGGGAAAACTGGTGCTGTGTGGGGTCCCTGGGAGGCCTGGTTGTGTTTTCAAGGGCTGTGCGTGGACCACAGTAAATTACAGTGGCACTGAAATAAGGTAAATAAAATATTTTTCTTCCCTGATGACAGAATAAAGGTACAGTTATTCTTACTAACATTTGCATTTATGAAGTCATCCCTTTTTTTTTTTTTTTTGCGGTATGAGGGCCTCTCACTGTTGTGGCCTCTCCCATTGCGGAGCACAGGCTTCGGACGCACAGGCTCAGCAGCCATGGCTCACAGACCCAGCTGCTCCGCAGTATGTGGGATCTTCCCGGACCGGGGCACGAACCCGTGTCCCCTGCATCGGCAGGCGGACTCTCAACCACTGCGCCACCAGGGAAGCCCTGAAGTCATCCTTTTGTTTATTAAGGGAAAAGTAACTACAGCAAGAGGATGGCCCTATGAAGCAATCAGAAAATCTGGTGGATGAATTTGCTTTTGTGGAAGTCTTTAGATTAGGCCCATTGATAAGACTAGGTTTGCCCAGTTACCCTTAGAAACTCAAGCCCACTCAGTGCTAAATGCTGCCTGATCTTTACTTTGTCATTCCATCAGTTTTTGAATGAGGCAAAATTGTTAATTTAAAAATTAACTTTAATTCATTATTTTCAGGCAGCAAAACAAGAACTTGAAAGACAACGTCGTTTAGAATGGGAGAGAATTCGTAGACAGGAGCTTCTCAATCGAAGGAATAGAGAACAGGAAGAAATTGTCAGGTTAAACTCTAAAAAGAAAAGCCTTCATCTCGAGTTGGAAGCACTGGTATGGCTATAGGTTTAGGTGAAATTTATCTGAATGATGCTTAGAGTTACCTGTTGAAAAATATTATTGTTTTTTTAATCTACCTCATGAATGTGTTATGTTTTAATGTAATTAAATAGTCATATTTTCATATGTGCTTTTTAACAGTTTAGACAGTATAGTTTACTAAAAAAGGATAGTGACTCGAAATGCTGAGAATTATGTTGTGGTCTTAGTTCAGATGTGGATAAACAAGGTACTCTTGGGCATGGTCTCTGGAAGGTGGTCTGCAGAGGAATAACCAGAAGGAGGAGAGGAGATTCTAGGCGCTAGGACAGCGTCTCCTCTCCCCACTTCTTCGTCCCACATTTCACAACAGAGAATCGCCACATTTATCTGCTGTACTTTTATTGGAGTTTTATCTAAAATTTGCTTGGAAAAAGGGATTTTACTGCTAAAAAGAAAAAATGACTGGAAACTGCTGACCTAAATGATCTCTTAGGATTCCTTTCAGTTCTAAAAGACTATGTTTGTTAACAAATATTGGCCATTATGCTTCTCAGTTTTTACACATCAGATGTCAGAGTATCTGTTAAAAGACTTTGCTTGAAATGCAAAGTGAGAAGATAGAAAGGGTCTGAGTAAGGCATACTATTCTACTACGACCCTGTAATCCCATAAGCCTGACCTGATTATACAGTAAGGTTTTGCAAAAAATGCATGTGTAGCTATGTAGTAGAGCCATATTTACATCTTGTTTAATTGTAGTCTAATGTTTTATTTGGTTGATGAATTGAATTACATTTTTTTAAAAAATCACAATATCTTTCATCAGAAAGGTACTATTTTATGCCTTCAAATGAATAGGAAAGCATACCACAGTTGTTAATCATGCCATAGTACTACAAAACAGTCCTAAAAACTTTAACTGCTTTGTGTAGCTACTTGGGTATCTGTCTGAACCGTTATCTTGACTGTGTGTTTTTCCTTAAAAATACAATGGGAGGAAACCTTTTGATTGTTTTCCCCCCAAGAACTGGGGTAACACACCAAGCAGTAGCATAGATTAATGTGTAGAGTCTGGAAAGGTCCAGGGCCTATACTTATATTTGCTGAAGATAATAACATGATATCCAGGGTGGACACAGCATATTCCCTTCAGCGTGTATTTCTCAAATATGAAACATACTTTTCAGTAAAAACTTTCATTATTGGTGATTTTTAACCAGGAGCCTCATTTTTCCTCACCCTACTTTATTTGCTAAGGCTGCTGCCATAACAAAATACCACAGACCAGGTGGCAATTTTTATCACAGTTCTGGAGGCTGGAAGTCCAAGATCAAGGTGTCAGCATGTTCGATTTCTTCTGAGGCTTCTCTCCTTGGCTTGCTGATGGATGCCTTTTGCCGTGTCCTCATGTGGTCTTTTCTCTGCCTGTGCATCTCTGCTGTCTCTATTGTGTCTAAATGTTCTCTTCTTATAAGGACACCAGTCAGATTGGAGTAGGGCCCACCCATAAGACTTCATTTAATCTTAATTACCTCTTTAAACGTCCTGTCTCCAAATGCAGTCATATTCTGAGGTTACTGAGGGTTAGGACTTCAACATATAAATTGTGGAGGACACAGTTCAGCTCATAACACCTCACCCTTCTTATTAGCTTCCATTGAGAATCCTGCTGTTTTTTGTTGTTGTTGTTGTTTTTTCTCAGAACAAGGGGAAAGGAATATTGGTATAGGAGAAGAGTAGTGTGGCCCCAAAAGGCCCTCCTGTACGCTGTTTAATTAGAAGAATTAGATGGCAGCATTGAGGATAGAAATAGAAGTTCAGAGAATGTAATGCTAATTGTCATATGCACACACTTATTCCTCCTTATTATTCTAAGAGATTGTTTATATTTTAATATTATGAATTAGTGCCTAAATGCTGAGTTCAGAAAAAAATTCAGTGTGTTATGTTTGTGCTTTCTCATCTTAACATAATAGGCTCTTACACTCACAGTGTTACATTTCCTGCTAATAACTCTCTTGAGTTAACTTGGTTTTAGACATTTATCTTAGACTGAGTATAAATGATAAATGACATTTAAAATTTAAATAAAAATATTGTTCTCTTGATAAGAACATTTCCTATTAGCATTTTATGTTACCATATGTTTCTCTTCCTATAGAATGGCAAACATCAGCAGATCTCAAGCAGACTTCAAGACGTCCGACTCAGGAAGCAAACTCAAAAGACTGAGCTGGAAGTTCTGGATAAGCAGTGTGACCTGGAAATTATGGAAATCAGGCAGCTTCAACAGGAACTTCAGGTAAGTCCTTTGCTGCTGAATTGTCCTTAAACATGAGCAGTTATTAATAATTCTTCCTAATAAAGTGTTTTTCACTTTTGGGGTCATGAACCCCTTTGAGCCTCTGATAGACATCCTTCCTAAAGGCATGTAGATATACACAATCTTGTATAATATCAGGAATCTCATGGACTCCCTAAAACTGTGCTTAACATCTGGTTAAATTCTGCTTAATATTTATACAATATCTGGGCATTTACCACTTTGAGTTTTAAGTCTTTAGTAAATAAATACATCATTTAATTCCATTTTAGTTTATCCATAAGTTGTAAGCAATTTACATATTATTCTATGTATTATTCCTATACTAAGTTTCAAGAGTGATTAAATCATGTTTTAACATTTTCAGAAAATTCTTAGACAACATTACAGAGTTTCTTTTTCTTTTTATAAGGAATATCAAAATAAGCTTATCTATTTGGTGCCAGAGAAGCAATTATTAAATGAAAGAATTAAAAATATGCAGCTCAGTAACACACCTGGTAAGTCTCTAAGGTTTGTTTTGCCTCTTTTATTCTTTTGTGAATGTATCAGTTATATTCTGTTACGTTTTAAAATAGCATTATTCTGTTATAAATAACATTTTTTGTCTATAGTTAAAAATTTTTAAACAATGTGAAAAATATTACCTCATGTTGGAGCATTTTTAGCAATAAAATGTAAATAGAAATAAAATAACAATTGTGGTTTGACTTCCTGTCTTGATACCATTTTTATTTATATATTTCAAATACCAATCAAATAAAATGTTACATTACAGTTAAACAAGACCTCAGTTTGGCTTGAACACGAGGCTATATGTGCATTTTGGCAAAATCCTGCACTGATTGTAAAGAACTGTTCGTGAGGAGACTTTTCTATGGAGCCAAACCTGTTGGATTCTAGGGTGATAGTGTACAGCAGTGATAGGCCTAAGCAGACTGGTATGCTCTTCCCAGACCTTTTTTATCATCTAACTTTGTGATTCATGTAAGGAATTTTACCACCTTGGCCCTCTGACACCTGTGGAACAAAATATTCCAGTGTAATTTATGAGAATATAACATTTCTCTTGATTCAAGTCTCAACCAGGAAACTGAAGGAAAAAAAAAATCTCTACATTAGATAGCATGCCAATAACAATGTAGCAGAAGAAAGATTTATTTAAAGAAAAGTAACTCTGCAAATGTGTTAGAACTAGCTAGAGTATCCTAAATGTCTCCCACTGAGTATCTGTCAGTTTTTTCATTCTAGGGCTCTTTATTACACTTCTGTTTTTTTAGGCAGGCCAATAAATAGGTTCATCCCTCTTCTTTGCCCAAATTCTGAACAAATTAAGAAATAAGGCAAAGGAGCAAGACATGAGAGACCAGAATATCACCTCATTATTAATAAAGCTGATGTTAGACAGCATGGCTTATCTGTGAGCAGTACAGCTGCCCCTGTAAGACACTGGGTGCATGAACAAAAAAGAATGCAGATTCCTGTAGGCAGTTCAACCTCAAGAAAGCAAGGGATAGGAAAGGTATAGGGCTGTGTACACCCGGGTCCTTATCTTGATCTCACCAAGTATTTAAGAGTTAGAAAGAAGCTGGGACTTGTTCTAGTAAAGGTCCCTTTACATCGAAGGAATACCAGGAATAGAAAATTTGATCTTGTGAACTTCTCTTATTATGTCTCGCACCTTCCACTGATGTCTCGTCTCAGACAATCTTCCTTGCACAGGGTGCTTTTCTTGGCCGTTCGAAGTGTATCAGCTCCTACCTTACCCCTCACAGGCATTCCAGAAGCAGGATAAGGCAGCACTCCTGATCTGTGCAGGGTAGAAAGTATATTGTCATCTTCATTGTTAGTATTTGGATTGTGAAGAGAATGTAGGATATATCTTATTAGGGGCCTGGTAGAGCTACTCTTTCTCTGTGGAATGTGATCCAGTTTAGCTTTTATAAATTTATTAATCTTTGCTGTAGTCCAGTTTAGAATAGGAAGCTTTTATTTGGAGTTTGCAAAGTACCCAGTATCCCTTAGATTCCTCTGTCCATAATAGTAACCATTTAAGATTTTCAGCCCTGTGCTAAGCACCATGCTAGGCAGTTTTCATGCATTATTTCCTTTTATCTTTACAACAACCCTGTAAAGTAGTCGTTGTTATTTCCATTGTGCAGCTTGGAAAAACTGAGGTTCACAGAGAATAAGTAATTACCCAAGATCACGTAATAGTAGGTCTCAAATTCTTGTGTGTCTGACTCCTAAAGCCCACCACACTACCATGTTGCCTCTTTCAGTTACCTAACACAGTGCTCGTAGATGTGATATGATCACATTCAATATGAAAACATCCATTATTACTGATGCTCATTTTGAATACTAAGAATGAATATTTTTTTACTGTTATTTTTCCCATTGCTTGTCTCCCACCTTGACTAGAATAGGACCCATGCCTTATCCTTCACTTTTACCTACCATTGACAAAGTGCAGGGCCTTGCATATGGCAGATTTGTAATTTAATGATTAAATATTTATTGAAATACTGGAAAACTGTTAGAATTATAAGACAATTTAACAAGGTGCCTGGATACAAAATCAGCATATAAAAATCAGCAACTTTACTGTATATCAAAAGTATTTATTTAGAAAATAAGGGGGAAAAAGGTCTCATTCACATCAGCATTCTCATTGTTAAATGAACAAAGAAGAAATGCACAGCCATAAAACTTTACTGATTGACATAAAAGATTCCTGGATAAGTAGATACATATTATATTCCTGAATGAACTTGCTCAATATTTTAAAGATGTTATTTAGTTCTCTACTAATTCATCCATATATTCAGTTTTATTCAGGTTTCCTTAAATGAAAATTGACAGATAATTCACAAATTAACCTAGAAGAGAAAATACACAACATGAGCCAAGACTTAAAAAGAAAAAACATTGGTGGGGGGAGGAGTCTAGCCCTATCATATACCGAAACATGAGTTATGAAAAGGTATAGTACCTAAAATAATGTATTATTGATCCAAAGTAGAAACAGAACACTGGAACTAAATAGAGAGTCTAGAGACAAGCATATATATATATGGCAATTTAGGATTAGATAAAGTTGGCATTTAACATCAGTGGGGAAGGGATGGGCTTTTGATAGTTACTATCTCTTCATTAAGTGATTTGAGGGATAGTTGAAAGGGGGGTGAAGAAGCTCTTTACCTCACTCTATGCAGATATAAATTCTAGGTAAAGTGGGAGGCTAAACATAAAATATAACTCTAGAAAAAAATGTTACAGAAGAAAACATTTTTATAATTTTGGTGTCAGAAAAGTCTCTTCAAACAATACATAGAGCTATGAAGGAAAATAGTTTTTGATGAAATAAAAATGAAAAACTTTTTCATGATGAAAGATGTCATAAACAGTAAAAAAAAAATTGAAATATGTATGATACCACAAGAATTTAGAGCTTCTACAAATCAGAAACTAAGACAAGCCAATAGGAGGAAAAAGCCAGCAAAGGTTGAGATGAGACAATTCAAGATGATGGCTCATAAATGTAAGTAGATGGCCATATAAATAGATGTTTATCTAATTTCAGTAGTTGTCAAGAAAATACAAATTAAAGTGACAATAAGAATTTTTTTGCCAGTTAGCAAAAATGAAAAATGAGTGACAATCATTCAAAATTTATCTCCAATCTCCAAACAATCTCCAAAATTTACAAGCAGCTCCTGCAGCTCAATATCAAAAAAACAAACAACCCAATCCAAAAATGGGCAGAAGACCTAAATAGACATTTCTCCAAAGAAGACATACAGATTGCCAACAAACACATGAAAAGTTGCTCAACATCACTAATATTAGAGAAATGCAAATCAAAACTACAATGAGGTATCACCTCACACTGGTCAGAATGGCCATCATCAAAACATCTACAAACAATAAATGTTGGAGAGGGTGTGGAGAAAAGGGAACCCTCTTGCACTGTTGGTGGGAATGTAAATTGATACAGCCACTATGGAGAACAGTATGGAGGTTCCTTAAAAAACTAAAAATAAAATTACCATACGACCCAGCAATCCCACTACTGGGCATATACCTTGAGAAAACCATAATTCAAAAAGACTCATGTACCACAATGTTCACTGCAGCTCTATTTACAATAGCCAGGACATGGAAGCAACCTAAGTGTCCATCAACAGATGAATGGATAAAGAAGATGTGGCACATATATACAATGGAATATTACTCAGCCATAAAAAGACATGAAATTGAGTTATTTGTAGTGAGGTGGGAGGACCCGGAGTCTCATACAGAGTGAAGTAAGTCAGAAAGAGAAAAACAAATACTGTATGCTAACACATATATATATGGAATCTAAAAAAAAATGGTTCTGAAGAACCTAGGGGCAGGACAGGAATAAAGACGCAGATGTAGAGAATGGACTTGAGGACACGGGGAGGGGGAAGGGTAAGCTGGGATGAAGTGAGAGAGTGGCATGGACGTATATACCCTACCAAATGTAAAATAGATAGCTAGTGGGAAGCAGCCGCATGGCACAGGGAGATCTGCTTGGTGCTTTGTGTCCACCAAGAGGGGTGTGATAGGGAGGGTGGGAGGGAGACGCAAGACGGAGGAGAAATGGGGATATATGTATAGCTGATTCACTTTGTTATACAGCAGAAACTAACACACCATTGTAAAGCAATTATACTCCAATAAGGATGTTAAAAAAAAAGAAAAATGAGTGATAGTATCTGGTGATAGGGATATGCAGAAACAGGTAATTTGGTGTCATTGTTACTGGTACAGCTTTTTGGAAGGGCAGTTTGGCAGTTTCTGTCCAAATTTAAAGTGTACACATCCTTTTACGTAGCAATTCTTTCACCTCCTAGCCTTTTAAAATACCTCCTTGTGTGTGTTAAAATGTACATACAAGTATGTTTATGGCAGCGTTTTTATTTAATAGTAGAAAATCAGAAACAACCTAAATGGCAATCAAAAAGGAAATAGTTACATAAATTACGGAATACCCATAATGTGGACTACCAGGGAGCAATTTTAAAGAATGAACTAGATCTAGATGTCTTTAATGGTGAGATGTGTTATTAAATTTAAAACAAGTTGCCAAGCAGTGTAGGCGTGATCCCATTAAAGCCCCATGGAAATGCTGAATATGCACATATCCAGTACCTAAGGGGGGTAGGAGTTGAGATAAAGAGAGACTTTTTTACTTTTTACTCTATATGCTTCATTTTATTTGAATTTTGTACTAGATTTCTGTACTTTAAAAAATACAATAAAGTTTTAAAATATGTACAGCTGACCGTTGAACAACGTGGGTTTGAACTGCACAGGTCCACTTCTGTGCAGATTTTTTTCAATAAGTAAATACTACAGTACTACACAGATCCGTGGTTGTTGAATCCAAGGACTTAGAACTGGGGATATGGAGGAACTGCACCCACATATGCTGAGGGCCAACTGCAAGTTATACTTAGATTTTCAACAGAGCGGAGGGCCACCCTCCAATTGTTGTTCAAGGGTCAGCTGTATTTAGATAGATGGTAAGATTGCTATCTTAATTTATTGAAATGTAATCTGTATCATATATTTCCATCCAGTTTTTTCATCCTTGCCTAAATGTGTAAGAAAAGGTCATATAAAATGAAGCTCTCTGTTCCTACCTCCTAAAATAATACCACTGAATGATCCAGTTAGTAATATTTATTGAGTCCTTGTAGTGAATATTCCCCTATTCTTGGTAGCACTGAGAATAAATAGAAAGCTACTTTAACAATAGGTGCTATTAATTGAGTATTTACTATGGGCCAGACTCTGTACTAATGGCTTTATATCATCACCTCATATATGAGGTGGGTGATATAATGCCCATTGAATAGGAGAGCCTACGGATCAGATTGGTGAAGCAACTTACCCAAAGTGGAGCGTCACTTCAAGTTCTAGTACTTTTGAGTACAGAACCAATGCTTATAACATTTCCATATGAGGATCTTCCAAGATATGATCCGAAAAAGGGAAATGACTGCTGATTGTTTTTTCCCTTGAGTTGATCCACCTTATGTGTGTATAGCCTTTGGCTCTCTAGTTATACCAATTTGACCAGACAGTAAATGTTAATTACTGGTAATGACAGGAACTTCTACCAAATGTAAACTGTATGATGTTTGTATTTCAGATTTAGGAGTCGGTTTACTTCATAAAAAATCATTAGAAAAGGAAGAATTATGCCAAAGACTTAAAGAACAATTAGATGCTCTTGAAAAAGAAACTGCATCTAAGCTATCAGAAATGGATTCATTTAACAATCAACTAAAGGTATTTATCTTCTATTATATTCATTTTTAGTTAGCTGCCTTTTACCTTCCTTATTTTGATTTAATTGAATAAATAACTGAAGCTATTATTGTTATATGTAGTACATTTCATAATTTATTTTATAATTTGAGCTATACCAGAATTGCAGGATTGTTTTTAATGTTCTCTGTGTATTATAAACATTGAGTCGTGTAAATAAACTTATAATTTACCATAGTTTCCAGTTTTTGATGACTGTTTTTATTGGCATCTATACATTTTCTTTTTTTTTTTTTTTTTTTTGCGGTACGCGGGCCTCTCACTGTTGTGGCCTCTCCCGTTGCGGAGCACAGGCTCCGGACGCACAGGCTCAGCGGCCATGGCTCACAGGCCCAGCCGCTCCGCAGCATGTGGGATCTTCCCGGACCGGGGCACGAACCCGTGTCCCCTGCATCAGCAGGCGGACTCTCAACCACTGCGCCACCAGGGAAGCCCGCATCTATACATTTAAAAAATAATTACCTTTGTCAGTATTAGGATTAGATTAGATAAGATTTGTCAGTATTAGATCTCAGCCAGAATGATCTTAGGCAAATTTGAAAATGGGAAATATGGAAAATTTTAAATAGTCCAGGTTGTAGAGACTCTTTTAACACACTAAATTCTTTTTTTTTTTTACAATTTAATTAACCTTTGTGAAATAATGCCATAACCAATGAAATCCAAAGCATAATTTGGCACTAAAAATTTTGCATGAAAAGTAGATTCATGATCCATTATTTGCTGCAGTGGCAGAACAGATGTCCAAAACGTATACCATATGCTTATCATTCTGTTCAGTGTTAGTTGTATACTGAAGCCATGCCCGTAAAAGAAAATATTAAAAGCTAGCAACCAGAGTAATGGCATATGATTAAAATTTGGGACTAGTTTCAGTTACTCCCTTGCTAATGAAGCGTGAAGTTTTTAGAGCATAATGTATTACAGAGCTTTTCAGGCAGCTCTCTGTCTCTTCATGTGACTTTCATTTTGCTGACTTATTTAGAGTAATGTTACACCAACCATAGAGTAAACAGAATGGTAAAAGAAACCATGGTGGCTTCAGTTAAGAAAGGGAAGTTTGAGGTGAATAATGTAAATAATACATTCTACCCAAGCATATATTCTGTAGAAAAAAAATTTAAAGAAAACCAAATAATTTGTCGTTGATAGACAGACAAACCAGCCAAGTTATCTTCCCTACATTATTTTTTTTAAATCTGTACATAGTTTAATTGGCTTTTTATCTGCCTTATCTTACAGTGTGGGAATATGGATGACTCTGTTCTTCAGTGCCTTTTGTCTCTGCTAAGCTGTCTCAACAACCTCTTCCTCTTACTTAAGGTTATTTTCTAATATCTAGCTCCTTTTCTTTGAGTTACTTTACTGTTTTCTTTTTTAAAAAACTAGACTATTCTTTGCATTTATCTAAATATCCTTGTTTGAAATAACATATACAGTATAGACATTTTTCTTTCTGCTTGCTTAAATATCCTTCTGCTGTCTCACTGCCTGTTTGAGTCTAATGCTAGGAATCACTAGGGTTGCCCAGAGTAACCTTTCTCATGAGGAGCCCAGGACTCTGAGAAATATTTCCTGGTTCCCGTACAACATCCCTGTGAGTTGGGCTAACTGATGGGATGATTACTCATTCAATTAAAAGGGAAACTAAGGGAATGTGAGATTAAATTATTTACCCATATCACTGAAATTATTGTTTAAAATAAAACTTACACCTTCTGAAATCTAGTGCAAGGTTATGTCACGTATATATCAGGCTGCTTCCTAATACTGCTATAAGATTTTTCTTTAAGAAAAATCTTAAAGAACCAATAATGCAGGTGCAGCTTTAGTTTTGTCTAGTTATCAGGCCTCATATTTAGATACCCTTGCACCACAGATAAAAATGTTTAAATCATATTTATAAACAAGTAGTTCACTTTGTCATGTATAGATAGCACAAAGAATATTTAAAACATTCAATGAATTCCTATTTTAATTTAGTTTAAAGAAAGTTGCTTTATATTTATCACTTGCTGACCCTAGTAGATTTTTGACTGTATTCTACTCAGTACTAAAATGGATGGCAATGGGGCAATTACATATATATACACAGTGAAGACGAGAACATAAGTAGAGCTCATTTGTTACCTAAGCAAAGGTAGGGCAGTTGGAAAGATGGTATCATCCTTTCCTTTATAGCATGAATGGCCAGATTATCTGGTCTTAGAACTTTTGCTGCAGATCACACAGAAATGTAAACCTAAGTGTTTCTTCACGTATACAGTGCAGTTTGATGATATTTGTGGACTGTACTCACACACCGAAGTCTGATTCTTCGAGTTAGCATTTGATTCTCCACAGGCTAGGAGATTATTCTTGTCTGTTGTTTTCCTTTCTTCCTTCTGCTTCCTGCCTTCCAACCTTTCACTGCTTGTTGAGGTTTCATCAGAGGCAATTTAGGAATGTAAAAGGGAATGAAACCTATACTGTCAGAGTGGTCAGGAGACCGACTGTTGTTACAGAAAGCAAGAAAAGAGGCTTTCTGTAGTCATTGGAAATGATACAGAGCAGTCAGTTAACTTAGTACTGAAAAGTATCCATTGAATTGTCAACAAGGAGACCTTTGAAGACCTTTCTGAAAGTGCCATCTCAGTTGAGTGACCAGCAGAGGCTGGATTGCGGCAGATCAGGAATGAATGGGAGCTGAGGAGGGGTGGAGTGCATGTAAACAACTCTTTAGGAGAGTGAAAAGAGAGCATGAGGAAAACTTTGTTTGTTTAAGAAAGATGACAAAGGATACAAAGTTTCAGTTATGTAAGATGGATAAGTTGTGAAACCCACTGCACAGCATGGTGACTATAATTAGAAAATTTCAACTATACAATACAGTATTGTTAAGAGTATATATCTTAAACATTCTCCCACAGAAAGAAAGAGAGAGAGGAAGGGAGGGAGGGAGGGAGGAAAGAAAGGGGGGGGAGAGAAGAAGGGGGGGAGGAGGGAATGGTAACTATATGAGGAAATGAATATGTTAATTAGCTTGATTATGGTGATCATTTCACAGTGTATATGTGTATTGAAGCAGCAAATTGTATACCTTAAATATATACAGTTTTTATTTACCAATTATACTTTAATAAAGTTGAAAAATAAAAGAATAATTAGGACCACCCTTGAAAGTGGTATCACCTTTTTGTGCAGCTTATGGATACATGAGGAATGGATAGTTTCTGTTAGGACCAGAGAATGGAAATGGAGAAAATTAAGCTTTTTAGGTAACTAACCTTATCCATCTCAGTGTCTTAAAGATGATTGCCAGGCTCAAGCCAAATATTTCGTTGCTGAATTCCCAGCACCTAGAACAGTGCATGGAACATCATGTATGGCAATACACACTTGTTGAATGAATGAATGGTTTTGAATGTTCTCAGTCAGAAAATATACAGCATTTAGAGTTAGTATTGGTATATAGAGTTTATGAGAAAAAAAGTAGAAAGAAATTAGTCAAAAAACAGCAGAAAACCATGTATCACAGGTTTTAGGAAAACTTCTGATTCCATGTAATTTATTCTTTTAAGTAAAGGCTATTTTTTAAATTCAAAAAAAGGAAGAAAGAAAAGAAAGACAAGACTTAAAGTAGAAGAGAGAGGAAGGCAAGGAGGAGGAAAGTGAGAGATTGAGATTGACCATATAAAGTAGTGATAATTGATGGAGCAAAGTCCCAAGGAAGCAGACTAAGATATAATCTGGAGCATAGATTGAAGGACAAGAGAAAAAGAATACTTCCAGTGTAACATATGGGGATAAGATAGGTGTGAAGTCGGCTAAATTTGTTGGTAGAGAGTAGGAAGTTGATAGCTTCAAAACCTAAAATCAGAAGCAAGTTAGATCATTACAAAGAGTCTTCATGGGTGGTTGAGGACATGGAATAACTCAAACTAGACTAGAAGGAGATGGATGCAGATGTAGGAAGTTTTATTGCTTTTGAGATGGAAAGATGAGGGAATTCCAGTCTGGCTTAATGAGGCAAGATTATTGGCTGGTAGTGAAAAGAATGAATGGAAGATTGGGAAATTTCAGGAGTGAAAAGTAGGCATGAAATACACATCTTAGTGGGGGTGGGGAGTGCAAGCTTAGTAGAGGAAAACAGTAGGTGTCCTGAGCAATGTTGAATGCCTATTTGAAGTTGGAGTTCATAAATTTAAATTGAAAACAGCAGGCCTAATTGTGTCTTTTTTTTTTCCCCACCAAAAGTTCAGCTGTTTATGTGTAAGCATGGAAAAGGATGATGACATAGGTTAATAGATTCATACGGGTTTGAGGTTTTAATAGACATGGGCAGATAGGGAGGAACAAGGGAACTACAGATCTTAACACAGTAACTGTGATAAACATGAACTCTGAAATAGGTACTGGACATGAAGGGATATGAAGAGAGGAAGGGGTGCTGATGAAAGAAGAGAGGATGATGGGATCAACAGAATGGAGGTCTCAGTGAGGTTGGAAACCTGTTGAAATGGATGTACCATATATAAGAAAAGCTTGAAGGATAAGAACTTAAGTTTGGAAAATGGGATACTGATCAGTGGTAGTTCTCTTTGTGATGATGACAAGATTCAGGGTATAATAATGCAAATGAGGGATTAAATGGAATCAAAAAAATCATTGTTGAGGAGATCAGTTGTTTTGTTTTTACTTTTTTTAGTTAAAATGAGAAGTTTTATTTTCGATGGATTTTATTTTATTTATTTATTTTTTTTAACATCTTTATTGGAGTATAATTGCTTTACAATGGTGTGTTAGTTTCTGCTTTACAACAAAATGAATCAATTATATATATACATATGTCCCCATATCTCTTCCCTCTTGCATCTCCCTCCCTCCCACCCTCCCTATCCCACCCCTCCAGGCGGTCACAAAGCACCGAGCTGATCTCCCTGTGCTATGCGGCTGCTTCCCACTAGCTATCTACCTTACGT